CCTGCATCGGCAGGCGGACTCTCAAGCACTGCGCCACCAGGGAAGCCCCCATAAACACTTTTGAGTCATGATTTCAGCATCATAGATTTCTACATAGTGTGATTCCCAGTGGCAGCTTATAAAAAAAGGATAATGCATTTCTTAGAAGAAACTGAAACAGCAAACTTTTTCTTCACTAATAGTAAAGATAGTAAATATCTCTCTAGAAAGTGCAGTAAGTAAAAATCGTTAGAACCTTGCATAGAGAACAAATAACTCTGTGCTTAACCTCTGCAATCTAAATTATTAGCTTTCCAGTATCATTTAAATAACTCACAAAGAAAGATTAAGCCTCTAGATTCATGTAGAAATGTTCCCACTCTTGGAAAGATGGTTTTAAAAAAAAAACAGACCGGTCACTTTAAAATAGTAGATGAGGTTACAAAATTATATCAGAAAGCACCTGAAAAAATATTCAACCAGCCTATACTTTCTTTTGTACCAGTCAGTAATTATAATCCTGAACCCAGAATGGTCATTTTTAGACCTCATCTTTGAGATTTTTCAAAATCTTAAAACATTAGCTTTTACTTCATATTACGTAGAAGTTTTTACTAAGTACAGATTTTCGTTGATGCTTTTCTAATTACTTTGACCCTTTTCTCTAACATTGTACAGTTTAGTGAACTAATTTGCAGTTTGCCTAAAATTTACTTGAAGGGAATGTTATTATGAAAGTGAAAGAAAAGCAAACCTTTCATGTTACTGAATTGTAAATGAAATAATCGAGTCAGGCCATGTTTTGTGATGCTCTTCATATCCTGAGCAGGGCTGCCTGGATTGGTGGATGAGCTGAGTTTCAGGCCTCAACCCACTGTGTCAGCCATAGCTGTTCTGCTTTTATCTGTTTTCCATGTTGGAGTTAGCATGAGCTTTCCTTTGAAGAAAAGCCTCTGTCACTGAAAACAGAAAGATTTGCAGCCAGAGATTGTGATTTCTCTCAGGTCTGATCAGAACCAGATTCTGTGACGTGGCTAGTCATTCTGGTTGAATACTTTCATTGTAATTTGTAGGGGTTTTTTTTACTCCCCTAAATGCAGAGTTGTCATGTTTTTATTTTAGAGAACTAGCTGTGGTCATTCAAATAAATGTTTGCAAATTATAGTTTAAATTTGATTTACTTAACTTGGTTGGACTCTTAAAAAAATGAATGGGAACATTTTCCACATACTGATATTTTTTCCCTGTAGTTTGAGATGAAGCTAATCTGTCTAAGCAATGTTAAAAAGTGAACACCAAAGTTGGTTAGTGGAGATTTGCAAAACCAAAATAAAATGGGAATGAATATGAGGCTTTTAATGAAGTTGCAAATATAACGAATGTGATTCTTTCCTGAGGCATAGGAGGAAGGGTCCGTGTTGAGCATGTAAAAACACCCTGAGGGGGAACAATGAATCTGTTTTTGTTATTGTGGGCAAGAAGAAAATATTGACAGATTTACTGTTCATACACATTTCCATTAAGCTGCAGTCCTTAAGTTATTTTTGTAAACTGCTTTCTGTATGTCATTCTTCTCTGCCAGATCCACATTGAGTCACATATAATTGGTTTCATTCTTAATAACTTGCAGTTTAACCTGTTCTTTGTCCTAATTCTGTGTCGTTGAAGGAAAGGTAAGACACATCGTAGTCTGGTTGATTAGATTACATCCTTTAGAGCTATCCATGGCATAGCACTTGTATAGTTTCTATGGAGGATAGTCCAAGAACTATTGAAGAACTAAGATCAGTGTTTACTTTCGGAGGCAATGTCATTGTCAAGGAGGAAATAAGTTAAGCTAGATGGTATTGCTTCTGCTTTACATATCTGAGTTCCTCAATAGATTGTAAGCTTTTGGGATCAGTTGATAACATTTTCATTTCTTTTCTTCTCAACATCAGTGCTAGTATATGTTAATATAGTTTTTAGTTAATCAAGTGTTTGTTGAATTAATGAATTAAAACTCTTTTGCCAAAAGTAATAAGAAAATGTACACATTTAGCAGTAGCTCCCTTAAGGATAGTGTTTGAGCAAAAAAAATTGTCTCTGTCCGGTTGGAGGAATGAGTTAGGGATAAAACTGATAAAGCTAGTTTTTTAGTACTGATTTATCTCTAGGAACACAATGCCAACTTTTACAAAATATCTCCTTTATGCCATCTGTTTTGATAGAATTGTATGGCTAAGCTATGGGCTTACACATTGAATTTCAGTTATTTTATGGGATATTTTCTTCTTGTCTTAGTTTTTGGTCGTGTGTTTTTCTCCTGGGATCTTCCATGTATGTATTTGTGTGGTTTGGGTCTAGCTACTTATCATTTCACCTTAACAGACTCTAGCCACTTAGTGAAGATCATTTTTTGGTCTGCAAGTGTAAGGAATATGAAGAGACAACTTCTCTGCCCTTCTGACATTATAGGATGTCAGTTGAATTGTTTTAAGCAGTTTATTCCTATCTATGCTTTCTGTAGACTAACTGCTGAAGAAAATGGTCATATTTTCCACACACCTCAAAAAGGACATTGTAGTGAAGATACCGGCCTTGTTTCTTCTGATGTACTTGAGACCGCTTCTAAATCAGCCCTTCCATCCCACACCATTCAAGCATCAGAAGAGCAGAGTTCAACACCAACACCAGTGAAAAAGTCTAGCAAGCTGAGGCAACAAATAGATATCAAAGCGGAGCTGGAAAAGCGGCAAGGAGGGAAGCAACTCCTCAACCTAGTGGTCATTGGTAATGCCCTTTGTTCCTCTGGATTGTCAGTCAACTGCTTAAGCCCAATAACTTTATAGTGGCAGCATGGAAACTTGTTCCACTCTGCGTTTCTGTGTGGGTGTAAATAGACTTGAAGCAAGGAGGCATTGCATCATAATGTCAAGTTTCCAAGGTCACTCTGAGTGAAATAATGCCAAGTCATTAAAGAGGTATTAGACTGGGTTGTGGCATTTTCATTTTGTGAACATTTGAAAATTGCCTGTCTTGTTGACAATCTTAATTTCCAGAAATAAAGGAAAATTTCCCCCCTTTAAAGAGACATGCTTTTTTCCCTCCATTTAGACATCTTAACTGTTATTTGATAAAAATTGGTATTTATTACTCTAAACACTGACATGAACTATTGAATTACATATTCCTGCAATGCCTCAATGTAAATAAACAACATCTAGAAAATGTATCTAGTATTAATCCTCAATCAATTTTCCTTAGGTCATGTTGATGCTGGGAAAAGTACTCTGATGGGCCATTTGCTTTATCTTCTGGGTAATGTAAACAAAAGAACTATGCATAAGTATGAACAAGAGTCTAAAAAGGCTGGCAAATCTTCGTTTGCATATGCATGGGTCTTGGATGAGACTGGCGAAGAAAGGGAAAGGTAGTCACTATATTTCAAAATTTTCATTCTGAAATGGTATATAGTCTTTTAAATAAGTATGTAAATGTGTTGAATATGCATGAAACAAAGCATGAAATATTTTAGAGACTATTTTTAGAAAAAAGTTTTCAGTTATCAGGGAAATGTTTTATTGTAGTTTTCATTGTAGTCTACATACATTTTTTACTCTTCCAAATTCTATGAAAATAGTTTAAAAAATGTTTATTAAAGATTTTTTTAAAAACACAGAGAAAAAGGCAGTAAAAACCCTTAGCTAATTATTCTGTGGGAGAAGCTTCGGTTGTCACTTCCCTGAGTATATGTCAAATTGTCTTGATTTTGAATGAAAATTATGAGTAAGACTCTTAATTTAAAATTAATATATATAATGTTAATATACATAAGATTATTATATCAGGTTATAAAGGAAAGGTAACTTTTTGTAGTAAACTGTCTTCTGTCTAGAATCAAAATGACCGGTAAATTCAAATTACCAGGCTTAATTCATCTTTATACTTTCTGTACTATGCTTTTATGAGACAGAGTCAACAAACAATTAATTAAACCTGTCTCCTACCAGGTAGATCTAATCCATTCGATTACTTCTGTATGTGTTACTGTGTTCAATGCTAACTTTGGTGAGGTTTTAGGAGAATGTAGATATTCATATACCTCTGGCCAAAGTATTTCTTTTGAAGTCTTTTTAGATATTTCATGTTAGAACTGGTAGGGATGGGGAAGCCAATGGCACCTTTGTCAGGAAAGAAAGAGGACACTTATAATTAAGTGAAATGGCAAATATACCTACTGTCTCAAAATAATAAAGACTGAAGCCCTCTGAAAATCCTGAATCAACAAAGAAGTTACTCTGTTCTCCGATGTCTTCATTCTGAATATGATTAGAGAACATATTTGGATTTTCATACTTTTTAAAAGTATGTTTATTTTCTTAGAGTATTGATATAAGATAATTCTCAATAAAGCAGGTCACAATATTCCTTAGCTCTTCTGGTAAATAGAATTTTATATCATAGTGGTTTGAGTTTTGTTTTGTTTTTTTCTTGTAGGTGTCTTTCTTATTCTTCATAATATCACAAGCTTGTTTTACAACCTAGTAAGAAAAAATAGTTAGACAGTTACACATTTTGGAAAAATGAATATTGGAAAACATAATTTTGTATGATATCAGTATTAGAAGACTAAATTTCCACTTATCAGCTTATTAAGCAGATTATTGATATATGGCTTTTTAGTTTTCTTTGTACCATCTATTAAGTAAGTAAAGAGATTGAGGGCAGTATAATTAAGTTAGAATGGCTTTGTTTGAATTTACTTCATGTGTGAGTTGAGCAGGCAAGTAAGCTAATAATCTATCTCTTTCCTAGAATAATTAATAATTTTAGTGTTTTTTTAACAATAAATCTGCTAGTTGGCTGTCATATTTTTGCTGCTGGTAGTTTTCTATTGCTCAGCATGCTACAATTTTTAGAATATTCCTTTATTCTGTAGGTAGCAGAAGCTTCCATATACATAATGGGAGTTTTAATTCACCACTATATATTCCTTAGTAGCATTTCAAAAATACAGTGAATTGCTTATCCTACCATGTGAAATATTTATAAATCCTCTGTTCTGCTCATGTGTTGGACAGAAATTAGTAGCCTGAGTGACATTTTCATATCCTCTCAGTTACAAATGCAGAGCAGAGCTGGGTCAAAAGAGTATGGTCAAAGCAGTCCAGGGAGGAGCTCAGACTCAGTCTTGGTTCATCACTATTCTCAGGCACTTATTTGGGGATTATTAAAGAGAATTAAGTATCATTTTTGCAAACTCAAATGGCCCATGGTTTCGGATTAAACTAGAATAACTTGACTAAGGAGACCCACAGTTACCTGACTGCTAGGGTGAACACATACTTTACCACTATAATTGTTGGGACACTTCGGTAGTAGAAGGGAGTGCTCATTCCTTACTATGGACTATCCTGGGCAAACCAGGATGAATAATTACCTAGTTTATTGCCCACGTGATTTCCCTTTTTAAATTCCTGAAGTCTAGAAAGACTTGCTACTTTTGTAGACCCTCCTGGGCTTTCTTGTATCTGAATCTATGTTTTTGTGGCTAAGAAGAGGCACTGTGTTGGACTCCAAGAGGATGACATGGGATGCAAAACCACTACTGTCCCTGTCTCTCAATGGTTAAAAAATTGTTCATCTCCTTTGATATTTCCTGTTTGCTAAATGTGTAACATACTGACTAGCCTTACAAATGAAAGTTTTATAAGTTTATTTCTATAATTAGTGAAGCATAAATGTAAGAAAATGAGGAAAGGTACATACTGATAGTGGTCATTCTTCATTTTTAACTTTTCTCATCTGCGATATTGTTTCCCACTCCAGATATGTCCCTATATATCTTTCTTTGTTCACAATCTGTACTGCTTCTTACTGAAAAAAAAAAGGAAATGGGAAGCATCAATCATTTTGATTAAGCTCTTGTTGTATCCAAACCTTGTTTTAAAGCCATACCAGTGTAATTCTGTTACAGCAGAAATTCCAGATAGCCTAATTATTCAAAATAATAGACTATAATAGAATTCCCATTATTACTTAAGAATTTAGACTGTCATTTCACCTATATTATTAAATAATTTAATCCATAACACTGATTATTTCTATGGTGCATTCTAACCATTTTATGTTTTCTTTAAGGGGAGTAACAATGGATGTTGGTATGACAAAGTTTGAGACCAAAACCAAAGTTATTATATTAATGGATGCTCCAGGCCATAAGGATTTCATTCCAAATATGATTACAGGAGCAGCCCAGGTACCAGATATTTTCTTAACCAAAGTACACTGATTGTACATAAAATTTCCTGATGCTGAGGTTATAATGCTAGGATTATAACTTTTAAAATATTAAAATTTTAAATTTTAACTTTTTAAAAAATTAGAAAAAAAATAGAGAAATGTATTTTTCGTGATCTCTATTGGTACTTTATAAAACTTTTTCTAATTTATTACAAAGAAGCAAATGTATAAAAGCTACAAATTTCTTTGTAGTAAAAATAATGGTAAGGGCTCAGTGAGGCATAGCTTTATAATTCATTTATTACTAAGTTGGAGTGAATATTTCAACATCTGCCTTTTTACTATATTTATATTCAAGTCATATATCTTTTTAAAGAGCTAATTTATGCAGAAATAGTGAAGCTTGGGAGTCTTCCCCCTGTGGTTTATTTGCTTTCTTAAGATTAAAAAACCATTGCAATTTGTAAGCTTACATGATTCTTAATGAGGATACTGAAAAAACCAAAGATAATAACTTTAAATAATTAAAACAATGCAAATAGCACTACACATATAGGACATTGATTTCTTCTATAATAGATGACTCTTGGAAAATATGGAGAGTTCAAAAGTTTGTGTCACTTGGCAAAAGTGTTCAGTGATTGACCATTTTCTGAGTTCTTCCACCCATTTAAAGGGAATGTTTATCAACAAATGTTATGAGCATGCCAACCTAAAAAGGATGTTATATGAATAAATTAGAATATATTTGAAGATAAATAAGGAAGTATTTGATTCTATTTAAGGAAGTTGACATATAATTTCAGAATATTAATTTACAGTCCATGGACTGAATGAGATAATGAAGATTGAAAAGTAATAATTATCATGTTGATTGAGTACTGAATACAGGCCAGACTCTGTACTAGGTATTTTGCATGCATTTAGTTTAATCTAATCCTTGTAACAATTCTGTGAAATACATATTAGCCCCATTTTAAATTGATACTCTTCTCATTGCATTTACCAAAGGATATATTTTTCTTTGTTTCCTTATGTGTATGTGTGTGTATGTATGTATGTGTGTGTATGTGTATGTATGTGTGTGTATGTATATATGTTTTCATTCAGTGAAAACTTACTGAATGTGCCAAGCACAGTGGTAGGCAGTGTGGAGATATGATGGACTACAAAGCACATTTTGATAGTTTAATGGGAGAGGCAAACACCAGAACACACAATGACACTGAAATGTTTTTTAATCCTAGAATCTTAGAGTCCAGAGTAATCGTAAAGAACATTTATTCCAAACTCCTGATGGAATTAGGGTAGGAAAGGATTTTAGAGATTATTTAATAGAATTCCATTATGAGACAAATGAAGAAATAGGCTCAAAGATATTAAGTAACGTACCCAGTGTATGAGGTACTGTGGTAGGCTTTTCTGGATACAGAGATACATATAGCACATGTTGCCTCTCCTCAAGGAAATCACAGTGTAGAAAGGTAAGACATGTAACAATGAAAGGCTAACACAGATGTACTACAAGAAGAATATACACAGTATACATGATGGATGAGGAGAGATCGCTTTTTACCACTTAAAAGGCTTCCTTGAAAATGTATAGGCATTTGAGCTCCCAAAGACAAGCTGTTGCTTAGAAAGAATAGAGAAATTGCCCAGTAATGTTTTTTGAGATGTTAATAGGAAAGAGGATCAGGAAGGATACTTACTGACTTAGGTATCTTAATACCAGTTCAATGACTTTCAATTTTTAATCTAGAAAAGTAAATGTAATTTGACAGTTATTAGCAAAACCTGATGAGAAGGAGATTTACAGTCATTGAGCCTAAGATTTGGAAGGTCAGGACTTTAAGTAAACTACATTTATCCCCCAGTGTTTCTGTGAGGTGAGATAGCTGTCTATTTGCCTGAGGTGCGAGACCTGCTACTGACTACACATGAGTGAAAGAGCCAGTTTTCAAATTGATTGCTTTAGTTTGTGCTCTTAACTAAGAATCCTTGATCAAAAGAACTGGATCTCATTGAAGAAATTAGGAGTTTAACATTAGAAGTCATGAGGCTTGGGTATGAATTATGCACTTAAGAGTAGATATAAAGCAGAAGGAATATTTGGATAAGAATTAAAGGAAAAAGAATAGAAATAATAGTGTAAATTGCCCCCACCAAAGTATGTACATGATACTTCTGATTTAAATTATAAAGTTCTGTTGTATTCCGAACAAAGTATCTGATAAATTCTTTACTTACTTTATGACCATTTCATTTCCCATTATGGTGTGGATTATATGATGACGTGAAAATCTTTAAAAACTGATAGCAGAAACATGAAGTGTCATTGAGGAAACAACAAAGAGAAAAGCTGTTCTGGACTCTGTTCTGACCAAAAGGCCAGAGCACTTGATGTGAATCGAATATAAGAGGACCCTTGAGAAAAAGTGATTGTCTTGTAGCAGTCTGAGATAGCTGAAGAGGGGAGTGCCAAATTTAGCCAGTATATCCTGAATTACAGAAAAGCAGATTTCTATAAGAACAGGTATGCATACAAGGCAAAAACTGTAAAAGGGGTAAATGAAAGATGGAGTGTTCATTTAAGAAATGTCCTGACAATGCACTGACAAATCATTGATGAGAATGAGAATGGAGGAACATCTATGGTTGTACAAACTGTTTTCTGCAAATTTTCAAACGCTGCATTCATATGGCGCAAGTGGAGTCACATAAAGAAGCATCAACAGCACAAAGGAATAGTGGGAACCTGTAAAACTCGGTTCAGTAAGGCTAAAGAAGAAAATGACCTAAGTTAAGGTTAGCACTTTTCCTTCTTTGTGTGTGTGTGAGTGTGTGTGTGTGTAAATTGAGTATAAGAGAAGAAATGTCTTTCATCTGATTCTCAAAATGGTCCACAAAGGTTAGGAAACTTTGTTATTCAGGTTCTTTTTTGGTGGCTGTAGGAGGGTGAATAATGCTATTTTTTGAAAATTCATTTATTGACAACTTTTTTTTTTTTTTTTTTTTTTTTGCAGTATGCGGGCCTACTCATTGTTGTGGCCTCTCCCATTGCAGAGCACAGGCTCCAGATGCGCAGGCTCAGCGGCCACGGCTCAGTGGCCCAGCTGCTCCGTGGCATGTGGGATCTTCCCGGACCGGGGCACGAACCCGCGCCCCCTGCATCGGCAGGCGGACTCTCAACCACTGCGCCACCAGGGAAGCCCTACTGACAACTTTTTATAATCATAAACAGTACTCTGACAAATTTCTTTGTAGATCCATAATTACTTCTCTAGGATAAATTCCTAGATACAGAGTTGATGGGAAACAAAATAAACATAATTTTAAGGTTCTTAATTCTTACTGTGAAAATGCCCTCCAGGGGGCTTCCCTGGTGGCGCAGTGGTTGAGAGTCCGCCTGCCCATGCAGGGGACAGGGGTTTGTGCCCCGGTCCGGGAAGATCCCACATGCCGCGGAGCGGCTGAGCCCGTGAGCCGTGGCCGCTGAGCCTGTGTGTCCGGAGCCTGTGCTCCGCAGCGGGAGAGGCCACAACAGTGAGAGACCCGCATACCGCAAAAAAAAAAAAAAAACCCTCGAGAAAGGTGGTGGACTTGCTGACCCCCAGGCAATGTATATGAATGCCTGTCTCCTTACACCCTTGCCTGTGTAAATAATTTTGTCTTTTAAATCTTTGACATTGAGATTTGTAAAATTGGAGAAGGGAGGATTATGTTGATGTGTTTTTAACGTCCTTTTTTTTTTTCGGTTTCTAATAAATTTGAATTTTCTTAATGTTTATTGACCATTTATAGTTCTTCTTTAGCAAGTTGCTTGTATCATTTAACTAGTTTTGTATGGAGCTGTACTTTTTTTCTTCTTTGGTAAAGACTTGATATTAAGATTATACCTTTTACCTTAAATGTTATAAATATTTGTCCCTGTTTAAGTATGTTTTAATTTTATGTTTTTCCTCCTTTGCCTGGTTATCATAATTATTATGTAATCAAATAGGGGAATTTTTAATTTTTTATGTCATTATTTTTTTGGCACATGCTAGTACTTTCTTCTATTTAAAATTTTAATCCATCTGTGTAATTCCTTTGATTTGCTTTGTGTTTGGTGTCAGGTTGGAGTCTGCCTTTAAAATCTCACCAACACAATTAATTTAATAATCTGTCCTTTGAATTAAAATGCTGTGACATTATTTCTAGTTTTGACTGTTATTTTTTTCTTTTTTAGGCAGATGTAGCAGTTTTAGTTGTAGATGCCAGCAGGGGAGAGTTTGAAGCTGGATTTGAGACTGGGGGACAAACACGAGAACATGGCCTCTTGGTTCGTTCTCTGGGAGTGACCCAGCTCGCAGTTGCAGTCAATAAAATGGATCAGGTATTTAAAGGCTTCTTGAGAATTCATTTTCGATGGTAGTTAAGATGATGTTCTGCCGTATTGATGACCTCAGGTGTGACTAGTATACATTTTCTTGGTCCAGTTTTCATATTTTAAAAAATAAATTCATGATGCTAATATTAAATAAATGAGGTATTAGTAATTTTTAAGCAAGAAGATAAATTCTCACTTTCAGAATTAATTTATAAATCTTAAAGTCATTTTGTTATAAAAATGCATATTTATTTTAGTATAAAGAAAACCTGAAATAACCTATATTTCTAACTCCCCCGCCCAATTTTTAACTTTTCATTTTGAACTTCCATCCAATTTATTTTTACACGTAAAAATCTTTTTTTAATAATATTGGGTTCTAGTCTGTTTCATTATCTACTTTTTCAAAAACTTGACAATATTCTTGTTCATGTTTCCAAGTAATTAATAATTTTTACGCAAAGAGGCAAAGAGGTAGTTTTTATAGCTTTATTCTAGTGTATTTTAAAGATACACTAACATTTATTCAGACAATCCCCTACTTTTGAATATTTCCAGTTTTGTGTATGTGTGTGTATATGTTTAGAAATAGTCTATTCTATGGAAATTTCTGGGCCCAAGGATATATATCTATATATATTTTTTAAGACTTACTGTACATGATGAAAATACCTTTGAGAAGAGTTCTAGTTATTTCCTTCTATATGGTGTATTCACTTCCCCAAATTCTTATCAACACTGCTGTTATTAAAAGATTGTATTCCAATTTGATACATAAAACATGATTTTTCTTCTTTAAACTTACTCTTCTATGAATGGTCATAATATTTAAATATACTTTGTATATTATCATTTGTATTTTTTCTTTTGGAATTTATGTAGTTTGCTCATTTTTGAAACTTTAAAAAAATCAATTTGTAAACTTAATTTAAAGATATTACTATTTCCTTTTGATTTCTTTCATTATGCTTAGGTATTTTCTTACCCTGGGATCAAATTCATATTCACCTAAGTTTTTCTACATAGCTCTTTTATAGTATCATTATTACATATACCTTTTATTTTTTCCCAGTATTTTAGTATGTAAATTTTCAGACATAAATAAAAGTTGAAAGAATGTTACAGTAACACCCATATTATACCTGCTACATAATATTCTACCACTTGCTTTATCTCATTTTTGTCTATCTACCCCTGTATCCATCCATTAATCTATCTTATTTTGACATGAATTTCCATGTAAGTTACAAGTTACAGACAGTGTTACATTTACTCCTAAATACTATAGCATGGGAATGGTTATCTAGAGTTCATATTACATATACATACACTAAGATGTCTGTTTGACTTGGGGGTGGGTGTCAGTAATTTTATTTTATTTCAGCAGTTGGTCCAGGCACAATTTAATAAGTTATTCACTTTTTCTCCCCACATTTGAAGTCACCTTTAGCATATCCAAAAAATTCTATAAACATTGGAGTTTGTTTCCAGCCTTTCTGTTGTAAGAAATTTTACTTTTAGATCATATTAATAGTAAGATCTGACATTGTGAGCTTTAATTTTAATAGATTTCATATTTAATAGATTTTATAATTATATTTTATAGTCGACTTTATATTTTATTGCAAAAATTTAAATTTTTTATATATAGCATGGTCTGAAGCATAGTTTTAAAAATAAATTGGATCTTTATCAGGTTAATTGGCAACAAGAAAGGTTTCAAGAGATTACTGGAAAACTTGGGCACTTTCTTAAGCAAGCAGGTTTTAAGGTAAGATAATTTTAAATTTATTTGTATACTTTCCTTAAGTCTCATCTTACTGATATGAGAGAAAAAACTACTTTGCTATTCTTGTTCAGTATTTTAATTCTTTTTGTTTTTATTTCTCCCTGGTATTATGTATATCTTACATTCTTTGGATTACTTCATTTTATTTGTTTGTTTGTTTGTTTGACTGACCGTTGATTGCCATGCCATGCGTGGCATGCAGGATCTTAGTTCCCCAACCAGGGATCCTTGCAGTGGGAGCGCAGAGCCCTAATCTCTGGACTGCCTGGGAATTCCCTGGATTACTTCATTTTAGAAAATTGCATACATTTTATAAATTGGCTTGGATCTAGTATAAGTAGAAGACTTTTTCTCCACCTATTAAATTAGATGTATAGGTTTAGGGAGGTCACAGAGGAATGTGGAAACTAGTAGAGAGAAATTTCTCCAGCAAAAATGTGAAATATGCCTACGTTACTAGGTAAAAATGCTTGAGTGTTTTGGAAACACTCAATGCTTAATGCTTGTAAGTTTCCCTCCCACAAAATCAAGAAAGTTGAAAACTGTTGTATCAGATAACTTCAGGGCAGTAGTTCTCTGATTTCTATTACTTTTTAAAAAGTACAGTGTTGCTTTTGCAAACTTGGTACAGTTATGCTAATAGTGAACCTTTTAATTTTTTAAAAACAATGTTGTATTGAGTTTCTTATGTTCAATCTTTTTTATAGGAAAGTGATGTAGCTTTTATCCCTACAAGTGGTCTCAGTGGTGAAAATCTAATCACAAGATCTCAGTCAAGTGAACTTACAAAATGGTATAAAGGACTATGTTTATTAGAACAAATTGGTAAGAATACTGCCATATTAATTTTAATGCATTATGAACTTGATATTAATTATTATTTAGAGTTCTTTATGGGGGACAGTGATGTGTGTGAAATAGCGTAGGATTTGTAGTCAGAGGAGCTAGGTCACCAATTTTGAAATTATATGCAATATTTAAACTGATGCTAAATTTTTCTTGTTTAATTAATGCCTGCTCTACCTACCTCACAGACTGTTGTGACATTAATGAGAAAACATATGTGAAAACATTTTATAAACTAGAGTATTATATGAATCACAGTCAATTTGCTGTTAGTATTTATTAAGCAATTATTTTCTGAGAGACATGGGAGTATAGTGGACTCATTGGACATGAGTCAAAAATTACTTTAGGGCTTCCCTGGTGGCGCAGTGGTTGAGAGTCCGCCTGCCGATGCAGGGGACACAGGTTCGTGCCCCGGTCTGGGAAGATCCCACGTGCTGCAGAGCGGCTAGGCCCATGAGCCATGGCCGCTGAGCCTGTGCGTCCAGAGCCTGTGCTCCGCAATGGGAGAGGCCACGACAGTGAGAGGCCTGCGTACTGCAAAAAAAAAAATTACTTTAAAATTAAACCTTGCCATTTTACCATTTTTTCCAGATTCCTTCAAGCCTCCTCGAAGATCTGTTGACAAGCCTTTCAGATTATGTGTATCTGATGTTTTCAAAGGTAAGTGCTACCTCTATTGACCTACTTCAGTATGGTCCCTGCCTTTCCATTCTCTCCTGACCTCTTTTGTTGGACAAAATTATTATGTTGTCTTCAGATTCTTCCGTCTTTATGCCAGTGGTATACAATTCTAGTTACTTAACACCCCTGCCCAGAAGAATCTTCAATTTACTTACCATTTCCCCATCTCATACTCACCTTCCACGTATAAAAAACCCTGATCCTTTATCTGTCTAGCCTCATAGTTTTTTCTCCCATTAGATTCCTTTAGTTTCTGTATCCTTCAACTGAACTGGATCATTCAGTATTTCCTAATCACATAGGGTTTTTATTGCCACTATGTCTACCCATGTTGTGCTCTCCTCTCTCTTTACTTGGCCATTTCCTACCCATATATAGCAGTCTGGGTCAGGAAATAGATACCATACATATGTAAAATGGGAAGTTTAATATAAAGGATCATTAATATATTAAAAAGAGTGACTATAAGATACAAGGGCACTATATGGTATCCTAGGGCTGAGGAAGAGAACCCAAGGAAGGACAAACTCAGAAGAGGTGTTGGAGGAGGTGTTGTATTAAATACCTAAGAATACGTCCAGTTTAATGTGTACAAGGCCCTACACAGAAAAATATAAAATGGAAATGGAATAAAAGGTCTTAATAAATAAAAGGATGTAACTTAATATTCCAATATATAACTTATATATTGGAATAATCAGTATGGTAAAGATGTCAGCTGCTCCCCAAATCTCCATTATCACAGAGCAGGAAGTAGAGAGTAGATTTGGAACTGAGCAGCAATAAATTGATAATTCTGGGGTGATAATTGAGGTCACCCACACACATACCCTGAGGTGTCTCTCTGTTCTCTGTATCCTCTGTCACTGCATTTTTCATGCAGTTTTATAATTGTTCCTGTGCTGTTTATTTCAGTTAGATTGTGAACTGCTTGAGGGCAAGTACTGTCACTTCTATATCCATATTTGCAAGACCTAGCTCAGTGCCTGGCATATAACACATACTTAATAAATGTTGTTTAATAAATGAATAAATGAAGGTGCTTCACAAAAATCATTCAATGAAATTGAAATTTATTATTATCATTTTCCAGCATTCTAGTAGAAGAGGAAGTGCGGTAATTCTTTCCAAAATGCCTGTTATCTATTTAAAATATAAGAGGTGCTTAATTTTCTTTTTGATTAATAGGGTTTGCTGACTCTACTTGTTTACCTCTTCTTTCTTCAGGCAGCTTCCTGGCTTCTGCCTGCATTGCTTGCCTCAATCTCAGTTCCCACTGAGATTATCAAATGACCTCTTGGTTGCCAACGTCAGTACACATTTTTCAGTTCTGTCTTACTTCCATCTTACTTGAATTTGGCATTACTTCTGAGGCTCGTAGCCACATCCACCTTGAAACGTTTCCCCCTTGGTTTCTGTGACCGACATTCTCCTGCTCTTCTGTTCCTTTCACCTTTCTGTATCTTCTCTGTGGGCTCCTCTTTCTCTGTCCCTTGACTCGTGTTCTGTCACTTCAGTCCTCTTCTTATTCTACATGCTCCCTTTGGACCGACATCCATGATTTCATCTATCTCCTGCATCTTGATGCTTCCCAAATCTCCAACCCAGACCTGTTCTCACTCTGCAGATACATCTGCTAACTGCTGCTGGGCATCTCCACAGGGAGTGTGCTCCCAGGGTACCATTCTCATGGGTTTGGTGTGATTGGTGCCCCCTTGAATGCATCTTCTCCATCTGTATGTCTTGCAGATACTTCAAATTCACCAAGGCTAAAATGGATCTTGTTCTTTAGTTTCCTATCTCACAGTTAATGCACATCTCAGATTTTTCTCTTTTTGCCATTATCCCCCATTTACCTTATCACCCTAAATCTGTCATACCTTATTCTCAAATTCTGGAGTTTCTTCCCTTTCTGTAGTCCATGTATGCATTTCAGTCAACCTCCCCAGCTCTCTGACACAGAAACACCATCATGTCACTTTTCCATTCACATTTCTTTTCTGGTTTCCCATTACTTAACTGAGGATGAAATTCAAGCCCTAAGTGTGATTTATGAGGCCCTGTTATTATTTGTCCCATGTCTACCTCCTTTGCCTCCTGTCTTGCCCTTTCCCTCATTATTCCAAATGGTCCCCATATAAATTCCATATAAATGACACATGGGTCTTAGCACGTGCCACATTTGGTTATGACTGTGCCTTTGCACATGCACTCAAACTATCTGGTAAACTCCTGTTCCTTCTTCTAAGTGCCTCGCTAAAGTGTAGTCGTTCCCCATCATCATGGATTCTTTGATGAACCTTGTTTTGTTTCCATTGCACATTATAAATAACATTTGTCTCAGGACAGTGTAATTGTTTTTGCCTTTCTCTTCACTAGTGTAAACTCCTTGTAGGTAGGGGCTTATATTTTCATCTCTTTATTCCCAGAGTTTAGCACTGTGCCTGGTACTTAGTAAGTATTCAATAAATTTCATTTCAATAAAATTGAACAAGGAATGAATTCCCACTTTTTCTAATATAAATATTTTTATTTATAAGAAAATCAAGAGTAGAATGTGGTGTGTCATATTTAGTAGATATATTAAAAATTCTGAAATGATCATTACTTAATGTTCATTGAACTACTAGTTTTATATAACTACTAGGGAACTTAGTATAGCTAGCAGTATTAAACGTAGATGATATTATTATGTGAACCATTATAAAATTTTGGCATGTTTTGCAGATCAAGGATCTGGATTTTGTGTAACTGGTAAAATTGAAGCTGGTTATATCCAAACTGGTGACAGACTACTAGCAATGCCTCCTAATGAAACTTGTACTGCAAAAGGTATTCCTCTGCAAGATTCTTTTGTTAAATAACCCTTAAGTTGAGGCAGCAGATTTTTAAAAGTAGTTTAGTTATTAACTCCAGAGTAAATAACCTCTTACTGAAATTGTAACTGACTGTCAAAATGATACTAACTGTTGAAGATAAAAATGTGAAAACATTAAACGATTTTTTTCTGTTGTGACTATGTGTGTATAAATGTACATATAACATTCTAACTGTGGTAGCATTTAAAAAATTTTTTTTGACATTGATTTGAGAAGCCTGGCTAGGATTGACCCAGATGTATAGACACCTGTCAGATACATTTAAAATAGTATTCAGTAGCAGAAATTAAGTCTGACCCCATCCTGGCACTAAATAGTCAATGGCAAAGCAGAGTGCTACAGTCTGTTGTTTTGAAATGTGTATTTCAGAATTACTATAAGTTAACAACCTAGATCATGTTTATACCAAAAGAAATTTTTTACAGGAAGACTTAAGAAAATAAGATGCAAATGGAGAGAATCCTAATGTTGAAAAGAGAAATTGAGCTAGTTTTAAGTGCTGCAATTATTGCTTTTGCACATATATGACCTTTCATAATAGCTTATAACTGTTTCTATCTTCTGATCATTTGACCTTACCTGTATACATGTTCTTCTTTTTTGAATTCTGCTTAAAAGTTTGTAATTCTGCACTTACCTTATTCTAGCTTCCAACCAGACTTCTGACTTCAACATAAAACTGAAGATCTGTTTTATACTGTAAAGTAAACTTGCAGACAAAAGTTCTGTGGAAAATGATTCTTTTTTAAAAAGTGTATATTATTTTTATCAAACAAAATTTTCTTGATCTCTAAGCAAGTAGCAAGAAAAAGGTTAAATGGAAATAACTTTGGCTTTCATTCCCTTATTCATCTTTAAATTTAGGTTAAATTATCTCTGCTGTTGTTTCTTAAAGTGATCAAGAGCTGCAATACTATTGAAATACTAATTTCTTTATATGTTAAAGACCTTTTTGAGAATAGGAATTTTTTTTTAATATAATCAGACATGAATTAAAACCATGATCCTAAACCATGGTCATAGACCTTACAGATGGGCTCCTTTGTGAGCTCCAAGATCATAATTTGGTCACCTCTGAAAGTTCTACATTCTTTCCCTCTTTCTTTCCTGTCCCTACCCTACCAGAAAAACTCCAACCACTTATCTTTAACCCAGTGGTTCTTAAAGGGAAGCCATATGAGAAGCACTGCTTCACTCCTTGAGAGCCACCCTTCTAACCCAACTTGGAGATTCTCAGTCCTCAATTTCTCACCCTAATGCTTTTGATTGATTTACTTGATTGTTTAATGCACGCTTCTATCTGAACACTTTAGGTGCTGCTGTGGCTCACTAACCAGTAGTGTCCTAAAAAAGAGAACTGACTAAATCTGCTACCAACAAATGGAAATTCTAAATTACATTTTCACTTTATTAACATATAAGTTCATAGAGTGTTAAAAAAGAACTTCTTTCTCCAGTGAAGAAAGTGCTTAAGAAGATAAATATCACATGTAGGACAGTGTAACATGTTTGGGGGAAGGAAGTCAGGTTATATGTTATCTTCAGAAAATTTTATATTGTTAATTGAACTTTCTAGTATGAAAGCTCTTAAATCTTAAGCTAAAGGCAATCTCTAGTCTATGTAAGTAGCTAGCTCCTGACTTGAATTCCACATTTCATACCAAAACTCAGATATGGTCATTTTAAATTTACATGTAAAAACTAAATGTAATTAGTTGAAAATTTGACAAACATTTTAAAATATCATAATTGTTAACATTTTTAGAGTCAGGAACCTCTTTGATACCTTGATGAAAGTATGGCCCCTCTTCTCAGATTAATGCAGATGTGCACCTGCATGAAACTTTGAATAAAACTTTAGGTTGTCTCAGAGCCCTTAAAGTTCTCCTTGAACTCCCAAAGAGTCTCAGAGAAACTCACTTAAGAGTATGCTACATGAAAAAAATAAGTATTTTCAGGAGGAGATGGGTGAATTGTAATTTACTAAAAACATGTCAATCAAGAACTGTTCCCCAGTGATTGGTCTACATACTGTCTTCATCGTTAAGACTCAAGTTCCTATAGAAAGGAACTTACCCCACAGAATCAGAAAATATGAGAAACCTTTTAAAAGCCTTTATTCAAATACCTGAGTTTTATTGCCCTTTGCAATTATACTCTAGGATTTTCCCTAGGTAATAAAGGTAGCAATAGCTGGGATCATTTTTAAATTAAATTTTCTTACACTATTAATCTCCTCCTTTTCATAAAACTATTTATCATTGTGCATCTGTCTCTGTGGGAAGCAGTTCTTTTGAGCCAGGAATAATGAAGGGGCCTGCCAAGGGTACCATCTGAGTACCGATGCCCTGTGGGTTACTCAGAGATTGTTTACGTGGTTGTCTAATTAGAGCAAAGCTTAAATACTACTAGACATCTTCCCCAGTCTCATCTATTATGTTTTGAAAATAACTGGGACTGTACTATTATGCCTGTATCCATTAATATAAGAGAAGTATTAGAATGGGGCCTATTTAATGAATATACCAGTCGTGTAAATGAGTTAAAAAAGTCTTGATTAAATAAGTAGAAATCAGCCTTTTATGGACAAATACAAGTCACTTTATGTTTAGGGTGGTGGTCCAGAAGAGTCAAGTCTAGAGGAAGTGTGTTTTCCTCAATGCTTACAGTTAACACTTCTCAGTCTCAATCCATTCATATTGAAAATGATGAGTAGTGACTGATGAGGCACAAATCAGCCAAACTCCCTTGGTTGTTATGGTTTGATATTGAGGTGTTTCACTGTATGCTCTGGTTCTTACTCATTTCCAGGAATCACTCTGCATGATGAACCTGTCGACTGGGCAGCAGCAGGCGATCACGTTAGTCTTACGTTGGTTGGGATGGATGTCATCAAAATCAAGTGAGTGAGAAAATGAGTTTAAGCGACCATTGTTTTGGATGTAGGACCTCAAAACGTGTAAAATTTGCAATTCACCAGCTCAAATGAAAGAATGAGTGTTAATTCTGAATCTCATTTGGCCAAAAATAGGCACTTGTGGAAGTGTAAGAATGATAAGCAGACCCTACTAAAATTTAAATTAATACGTGTCAACATATGTACCTGACATGTTCTTTGAGGGAAAACAGTAATGTATGAAAATGGCATAAGGTTAATAATGGTGTAAAGCCATGCTTTAACCCAAAAGGCACTATTTAGAAAAAGTCCCTAATTTACTGGATTGTTTTACCTTGTTAATGGTTTTAAAGGTTTCCTATTAGATGTGTATTTAATTATCCCCCCAACTACCTGCTCTCCTTTTTTGTTTTTGTTTTGTTGTTGTTACAGTGTTGGCTGCATATTTTGTGGCCCCAAAGAACCCATTAAGGTTTGCACTCGTTTCAGAGCCCGAATCCTCATCTTTAATATTGAAATTCCTATCACTAAAGGATTTCCTGTAAGTTTCAAAATGTTTGTTACTGTTTTTATAAATTCAATATAACTTTATCCTAAAAAGTAGTAACTCTCTTTATAAGTGATGTTGCTATTGTTATTTTCAACTAACATTTGTATTACTCTCATCCAGAAAAACATGAAATTGGAATTTGAAAATCATCTTTATTTTGTTTTTTTAAATTTTGATCCTTAAGTCTGGGGATGTTTTTTTCAAAAAGGCATTGAGAAGAAATTTCATAATCAGTAGGATACAAACTGATGATAATAAAAAATCATTTAGGGAAAATCATAGACACTTTTTTGCTGAGTTCCAAATGTTACTTCTTAGATTGGGTCTTTCTGTTTTGGTTTGTTTTTTTTTATAATAAGCTCATTTGTAGTTTTTCTGATTATAAAAGTAATACATTGTTATGGAAAATTTTGGAAAACACACAAAAAATAAAAGTGATAAGAAAATTCTGGGACTTCCCTGGGATGCAGCAGTTAAGAATCCTCCTGCCAATGCAGGGGACACGGGTTCGAGCCCTGGTCCGGGAAGATCCCACATGCCACGGAGCAACTAGGTCTGTGTGCCACAACTACTGAGCCTGCGCTCTAGAGCCCTCGAGCCACAACTGCTGAAGCTCGTACACCCTAGAGCCCCTGCTCCGCAACAAGAGAAGCCACCGCAATGAGAAGCCCGTGCACCACAACAAAGAGTAGCCCCCATTCTCCACAAGTAGAGAAAGCACACGCACAGCAAAAGACCCAACACAGCCAAAAATAAATAAATTAATTAATTAATTAAAAATATCATATTTAGAAAAAGAATTTTCTATAATTGTGTAACCTATAATTATCTATTCTTTACATTTCAGAGTATGTTTTTGTGTACATTGGTATCTATGGGTATATTTTGGGGATGCTTGACCTAGGTAAACTTTAATTACGCTGAAGCTGTGAGGTGGGTATGCAGGTTATCATTGACTAGCACCATTTGAACATGCACATTTATGGGAAGAGGGGGATTTTATCCTTATCCAGAAAAGATACTACTTGTGAATAGCATGAATTCTTTGTTTTATGTGTAAATTTTTTTTCAGCTATTTGGGACCATACTCTGTTTATAGTTTGGTACCTTGCTTTTGCCATTTAACTAATGGACATTTTCCCCATTAGACTTATTTTTCTTTTCTTGATCAGCTTATTATATAGTAGAGGTTCTGCATGAGAATCAAAAATGTTTCTCAGTGGAATTAAATGGCTTGCCTTTAAAAATATAAACAGATCATTTTCTCCATTTGATGCATCTTTGAAATAAAAGTAAGGCAGTAATAGTAATTGACCTTTACACTTTATTTAAATTAGTGATAGTATTTTAAAGATTGGGAATAAATTTATTTAACTCATTTAAATTTATTTTATACCTCTGCACCTTTATTTGAGATAACCATGTGCTTTGCTTATAATTCTTTGTAATTATTTCTATGTAAACTTGATCCTATAAAATTATATTTATAAAATAGTGTTTAAGTATTTTAGTTTTATAATTCCATTTCTCCCATATGCTAAAAAGGGGGAGGGGCAAAAGCTTCTGTCCAAAAAAACAGTTATTGTTGCAAATACTTCTTTTAAATATTTAAAATTCATGTGTTGATAAGCAAGAAATTGCTATGAACGAATGGCACTCATTCTTAGAAAGCAGTATGTCCAGTGGAGAGAAGCTGAAGAGGTTGGTTACTGTGTTTTTACTCATGCGGCAGTAATTTTTGCCAGTGGAGAGGTAGAGAGGTCAGGAGGTTGGTAGTTACTTTCAATAGTAATACTGTCTTCCTGTGTACTATAGTTTCTTTTATGAATTAAAAGTTTTTCAGTGCTGCTTTATGAGATTCTACTTGCTTATGTGGATTCACGAATACCAGGATGAAATTTGTTTCAGAAAAAAACGATCACATTTTGTCATTTAATCCACTCTCTGTGGGAAGAAACTTTCACAATTTTAAAAAATTTAACCAAGGAGAGGCTTCCTAAGCAATTGAATTTCACTATTTAGGGACTAGTTCCTTAATACATAAATATTTTTGTTTCCCTTAGTTTATATGGTAAACTGTCTGTATATTTAAGAAGAAAAAAAAAGAATGGGTTAGACTTTAAATAAATTCATGTTTTGATTTTGATTCATTGTGATAAAATATTTATAACAGAAAATTTACCATTTTAACCATTTTTAAGTGTACAGTTCAGTAGCCTTAAGTACATTCACCTTGTGCAACCATCACCACCTCCCACCTCCAGAACTTTTTCCTTATCCCAAACTCTGTACCCGTTAAACAATAACTCCCCCTATCACGCTTTCCCCCTATCCTCTGGTAACCACAGTTCTACTTTGTTTCTCTATGAATTTGCCTATTCTACATCCCTCATATAAGTGAATCATACAATATTTGTCCTTCTGTGTCTGACTTATTTCACTTAACAATGTTTTTGAGGTTCATCCATGTTATAACATGTATCAGAATTTCATTTCTTTTTAAAACTGAATAATATTCTATTGTAAGTATTTACCACATTTTATTTATCCATTCATCCGTTGATGGATGTTTGGGTTGTTTCTGTCTTTCGGCAGATGTAAATGCTGCTTCTGTGAACACTGGCATACAAGTATCTGTTTGAACCTCTGCTTTCAATTCTTCCGAGTATATATCTCGGGGTAGAATTGCTTCTTGATTGTATGGAAATTCTGTGTTTAACTTTTGAGGAACCACTAAACTGTTCTCCACAGCAGCTGCACCATTTTTACATTCCCACTAGCAGTACACAAGGGTTCTAATTTCTCCTCTTCCTTGTTATTTTCCTTTCTTGTGTGTGTGGGTGTTGGGGGGGGGTGATTTTTTGTTAGTTTGTTTGTTTATAATAGGCATACTGATGAGTGTGAAGGGATGTATCATTGTGGTTTTGATTTGCATTTCCCTAATGGCTAGTAATGTTGAGCATCTGTTCATTTCTTTATGTATTTTGGGTTTTAATTCTTTATCAGTGTATGATTTGCCAATATCTTCTTCCATGCTGTGGGTTGTCTTTTTACTCTTAAGTATCCTTTGATGTACAAAAGTTTTCCATTTTGATGAAGTCCAGTTTATCTACATTTTCTTTTGTTGCCTTTACTTTTGGTGTCATATCCAAGAAGTCATTGCCAGATTCAACATTAAGAAGATTTCCCACTCTGTTTTCTTCTAAGAGTTTCATAGTTTTAGTCCTTTTGTTTAGGTCTTTGATCCATTTTGAGTTAATTTTTGTATATGGTGTAAGATTCTTTTGCATGTAGATATCTAATTTTCCCAGCACCATTTGTTGAAAAGACTGTTCTCTCCCTATTGAGTGGTCTTGGCACCCTTATTGCTGCTTAACCTATTTGATATTAATTTCCTTACATATAAAACGTGAACAGTAATAGCTAATATATAAGGCCATCAGTTAACTTCAGGTTTACCATGTGTTAGGCACCACTTTAAAATGACATTATCGGGTTTTCCTCGTTTAGTGACGAGAGACCTGATGCTGGGGATGTTGCGGGGAAAACGGTTATTACAGGATTTGCCCCAGATCACACAACTAGAATGTGTAAAGTTAGGTTTTGAACTCAGGTCTGCCTGACTTCAAAGCCTGTCTAAACTCCCATATAATATTTTACTCTCATTATCCAGCAATGAATACAATTCGTTACTGCTGAATATCATGCGATTCCCCTTCCCTCATTTTTATGGCGAAACAATTCACATTTGCTGAACATCTGCTGTACCAGACACTGTCTCTGCTGTTATTTAGTTCTCATCATAATCCTGTAAGGAAGGTTATGTAATTTACTCAAGTTTACACAGTAAGTGGTGGAGGAGAAATTGGAACTGCTTCCCATGACCTTTTCCCCTAGTGAGTTAAGGGACAACCTGATTGGAGTGGTGGGACTTAGGGGAAGCAGCTGGAGATCCTGCAACTCCAGGCAGTAGTGCTGAGGCTAACGTGATTCAGTGTGAGTGCCAGAGTAAAAGGCCAGAGATGCTGCAGCGAACAGCTTTGTAGTGTTACAATTTTTTGTTTTAGGTGCTGTTACACTACCAAACCGTCAGTGAACCTGCCATTGTTAAACGATTGATTAGCGTCTTAAACAAAAGCACTGGTGAAGTCACAAAGAAAAAGCCTAAGTAAGTGTTTTAATGCATAAATAATAAACACAATTTAAGCACATTCCTTACAGATTAATTCATTTGTATAATATTTCTCTTTGCGATAAGTGAAGTCTGTTTTTACTTGTTCCAGAAATCATTTTTTTAAAGGACTAGATGAAAACACAAAAACAAATATTTAAGCTCCTGTTTAGGTAGGAATGCTAGATATAATTTCAGTTATATATGATGGTGATGGGTATGAGTTGTAAATAAAAATGTAAATATAAGTTTATATGTAAGTATCAAGCCCTAGATACTGATGATGTAAAAATGAAGGCATTTAAAAAATCAGTCCTACATTTTTGAAGATGAATTTGATTTATGCCTAGCCATTTGTCCCAAATTCCAGTTGGTTGTGCTTCTTAACTTTCTTGTCACCCCCTCATGGGAATCATGCCCTATGCTAAGAATACCTCAGGAAGAGAGTGAACTAAACAATGATTTTTCCCACCTGGAAAGTACTTTTGTTTTCTGCTTGACGTCCACCTGGTGCCTAGGCTGAGGTGGTCACCACATGTTGGTCCCCTCTGCTTACCATTAATATCTAGGTCTAGGTGTGGACAGTTCCCCCTTGGCTGGGATAGGCACGGGATTTTTCAGAGGAGGTGCTTCCTGAGAATCTTGAGTTCCTTACTCTAATTCAACTAAAGGTTGACCACAGTTTGGTTTGGCTGCTTCAGCTTTGGGGTTTTCCTCACTTCAGCCCTATGGGGAATCCCACCCAAAATCCCCTTTTTTTTCAGTCCTGGGGTGTTCCTCCTCATTTGCACCTGTGTAAGAGGCCAAGGTGGTTAGAGGGTTAATTTAGGATCGGCTGCACGTAGAAGAAAGAATCTTCACACTGTTCTAAACCCATGCCTGTTTCTCCCTTAGTTAGAAACAAGAGGCTACTTCACCTCTCATTTAAAGATAGTTCTTTATTTTTAACCTGAGTCTTTAGCTTCTAGCATGAGTGTCTGCCATAATGTACTGAGAAGTGTGATAGAAGTCATGGCTGGTGTTTCTTGAGGACCGCTATTTTCTAGGCTCTGTCATAAGTTCTTTCACATGGTTTACATTCTCAGCAACCGTATAAAGCAGGTACTATTATGTTTCCCGTGTTTCAAATGAGGAAGCTGAGGCTTAGAGAGATTGTATAACACGTTTGAGATCACAAAGCTAGCAAGTGGAAGGCCCAGGATTCTAATCTAGTTAGTTGGGTCACATAAATTCTTTTGGCAGGAGCCGAGCTGTCTGACTTGGAAAATTCTCAATCTGACATTGGCTCATCAGATGTAATCCTGAATTTTACCCTCCTTGCTCATGCTGCAGAGTCTAGCTCCATGATGCTAATTCTAGGTTTTAATATTTTCTCATGCAAGTTTTTCCTGTCACCGTATTTGTAGCTTTGTCCTTTTATTTTGCACCAACACCATTTGGCCTTTCCCCTTTGTTTCCATTCCTGGCACATTGTAGACTCGATTGCTTTATATGGGATGGAATCAAACTTTCTAGAACCAAACTTAAAGCAAATTGTGAATATATTAGATGTTCTCCTTCCTAAGGAATGGGACCTTAAGCTGAAATTGCCCAAAACCAATATTTAGAATTTTGGGAATACGTTTTTTAGGAACCTTGGCTTATTCTATCTGTGTGTCCCTGAATTAATCTTTCAGAAGGGGAGTTTATGAATGCTGTTCTCTATCCTTCTAGAACACATCAAAATTGAATTAGGGAACATTTCAGAATGCCCCCTTTGGGTTCTCCCTCTTTCAGTAAGTCTGGTGGGGCCCGTGCACAAGGATTCTTGGTTGCTTTGCTTATTGTGTGAAGCTGTTTGCAATCAGGCCCATGCCTCATCTCCCTTCATTTCCTACAAATATCATACTGTGAAAGAATCTTACATGATTTTATCCTGAACGTCTGTTAAAGAACCACTCTTCCTATGTGAGAGAAGAGAGAGGAGGGAGGGAGAGAGAGATCTAGGGTAGTGTGTTGGCACTAGGAGATTATCCTCTTTAAAGATAACTTTTTAACATAATCTACCAATTAGGATTTTACTGTGGAAGACATAGGACATTGCATTCCTTTCTTTAAATGCAACTGCATCACTCTTCTTTAATTTCATGAGGGAATGAAAGGGAAGACTTTGGTGGAGGGGTCTTGAGTATTTTAGATTATAGTGTCCTTCAAAGGATAGAGTTCAATTTGGAAGATTGTTTAAAACACACACACACACACACACACACACACACACACACACACGAACTAGCTAATATTTCTTAAATCTAGAATTACTCCTCTCATTTCTTTCAACTAACCCCCTCAAATTCAAAGGCATATATTTTCATTTTAAGAAAATCCCTTTTTACTTTTTAAGTTTTTGAAAAACTAAGTTGATGTGTAGATGGAATGTGAAATATTTTTCAGGTTTTAATTACATTTCTTTACCTTTATTAGATTTCCATTTTATTTTTCGTGATAGATTGTTGACCAAAGGCCAGAATGCATTGGTGGAGCTACAGACACAAAGACCAGTGGCTCTTGAGCTGTACAAAGACTTTAAAGAGCTGGGGAGATTCATGCTGCGCTACAGTGGTTCTACCATAGCTGCTGGTGTAGTCACCGAGGTATTTTAAAGTGACTGATTATGTATCCATGGTTATTATGTCTTTTTCTACTTTCTTATTAAAATTTTACTTATTTATTTTATTTTTTGGCTGCGTTGGGTCTTCGTTGCTGCTCACGGGCTTTCTCTAGTTGTGGCGAGCGGGGGCTACTCTTCGTTGTGGTGCGCGGGCTTCTCATCGCAGTGGCTTCTCTTGTTGTGGAGCACAGGCTGTATGTGCATGGGCTTCAGTAGTTGTGGCTCGCAGACTCTAGAGTGCAGGCTCAGTAGTTGTGGCACAGGCTTAGTTGCTCCGCGGCATGTGCAATCTTCCCGGACCAGGGATCAAACCCGTGTCCCCTGCATTGGTAGGCGGATTCTTAACCACTGTGCCACCAGGGAAGCCCTCTTTTTCTACTTTCTAAGAATGATTACTGAGATTTTATGGCTTAACGGGAGTGCAGTTATATTAGAACAACATTTTAAAATTTTATTAAAGATTAAAAGAATGATGGGAAGAAAATGTTTCACCTTAGATCTTCTCATAACGAGACTTCCAAACTGTCTTCTCCACCAGTAATATTGCTCAGAATTAAAGGAAATCCATTGAAAAATACATCTGTATGCAGTCCAAATCATGAGAATAGACTTTAATAAGAGTCAAATGAATTGGGAGTAGTGGTTTTGTTTAACAAAGTGCCCTCATTACATTGTTTTTTTTAATAACTGGTTCTCAGTTCATTCATTCAGAAAGTTCAGTTAAATATATCAGTAATGTTTCTGAAACATTAATATATAATGTAAGGTACAGTTGAGTTTTGGAGAAAATAGCCAGAAATGAACCAGAATTTCAGTGATTTAAATTTTCTTCCACACTATCATGATTAATATAGATCTTATGAATACATGCATGCCTTATTTTATTGCACTTCACAGATACTGTGTTCTACAAAATGAAGGTTTGTGGCAACCTTACATTGAGCAAGTCTCTAGGCACCATTTTCCCAACAGCATTTGCTCACTTCATGTCTCTGTTTCACACTTTGGTAATTCTTGCAGTATTTCAGACTTTTACATTATTATTATCATTTACATTATTATTATTACATATTTGTTATGGCGATCTGTGATCAGTAATCGTTGATGTTATGCCTACAAAAAGGTTATGACTCACTGAAGGCTCAGATGATGGTTAGCCTTTTTTAGCAATAAAGTATTTTTAAGTTAAGGTATGTACATTGTTTTCTTAGACATAATGCTATTGCACTCTTAATAGACTATAGTATAGTGTAAACATAACTTTTCTATGCACTGGAAAACCAAAAAATTCCTATGACTTGCTTTACTGCGATTCTCACTTTATCGAGGTGGCCTGGAACAGAGCCCACAATATCTCCGAGGTATGCATGTATTTTTAAAAGGGGCTTCATTACTTCATATGCTTGTTTTCTGCATAAAAATTACTCAGTTCATTTAACTGGATGGATACTTTGGACATAGGGCTTTAGGTCGCATCAAAATTCAGTTATACTTGTACCATGAAAAAGGCTCTGGAGTTAAACTTAAGTCTAAGTCTGAGTTACTGCTCCACTAATTCCTAGCTGCAGAAGAACAACGTTTGTCCTGTAATTTATCCATCTATGAAAATGGGGTAATAGAATCTACCTTCTGGAGTTGTGAAATGAAATGGTCTGCATAAAGCACTTGGCACAGTGATTGCATTTAGAAAGCATTCAGTAAATGTTACCTAATAGCAGCAGCAGCAGCATCACATTTAACTGTCAAAACATTCTTTGTAAAAGAGCATTCTAAAAATAAGATGCAGTCTCTTGTGGAAAGTAATGGAGAGATTATAGAAAATCTCAAATAACAAGACTAGGGAAGGAAAAAAGTTGCAGGAAAAACAAAAAAGTTTCACCTGATGTAATGATTACTCCACTGCCATTTTTTCCTTTTGTTGTTGTTGTCCATATAATGTGATTGGTTAAATTATAGCAAATGCTTTTTTTTTCTTTTACAGATAAAAGACTGATGGGTCAGAATTTCTACCATGTTTCTAAACACAGTGAGATAGTTAACCTCCATGTTTTGAAAGAATCCAGTTATTCAGTTAAAGCAACAATGTGCAATTGATATTTTTTTAAATGAGAGAGAAAATTCAAGCTATGATCAGCTGCAAAGAAGTATCATTCACCACTCCTACAAAAATTTTAAGTTGCCAACTGGCAAAGAAAGGCTAATATTGCACTTTCATTTAAAAAACTAGCTTTTCCTTTGAAATGTTACTAATGGATTTACCTTGCTGAGACTTACGGAAGTTATCAGAAATATGTGTTAGAAGACATTGAATCATCATGACGTGAACTCTACTTCCAGCCAAACCACCAAATGTTTTCAGTTTTCTCTTTTGATTTCAACTTACAACACACATTTTTAAGAAAGAATAACTAAAATGGGTTATTGAGGTAGTTAATATTTGACCTGAGCAGTTTTTTAGTTAACTGTAAGAAAAGATTTGTTGAAGGTTAATAAAGGTATTTTGTGTTGAGCAGTGAGTGTTCTTCCTTCAACAAACAACCATTTGGAACTGCTTAGTTTGCAGTTATTGGAAATTGTTCCTTTGTTAACCAAGATATTATTTAAGGTGTAAAGCTAGCTAATAAAATGCCTTAGTTTGAGCATAACAACAAAATGTGTTGTGTTTCTTCGATGTTTATGAGATTCTAAGTAGGACTTGGGTTTTATGGGATCTTTTTCACCTGAGGGTTTCCCCACTCTTTCACGTGAATTCTTGCTTTTTATCCTAATAGCAGATCAAATTTAATCTCATCCATTTCTAACCATAACTTAATTTTATTTTTCCCATTCTCACTTTTATAATTACATGTATGATGACTTTATCTCGTATTCCTTGTAGATTGTAAGTCCCCATGAGTAAGAGTCATGTTTTTCTTTAAAGTTTCAACAAACTCCAAGGTATATTTAGTTAACAGGTATTTGTTGAGCTCCCTCCTGGGTACCATTGCTTTCGAGTGGATTTTGTCCTCAGCTGAGGCTGGGACTGTGTTCTTTTTTATTTATTTATTTATTTTTTACATCTTTATTGGAGTATAATTGCTTTACAATGGTGTGTTAGTTTCTGCTTTATAACAAAGTGAATCAGTTATACATATACATATGTTCCCATATCTCTTCCCTCTTGCGTCTCCCTCCCTCCCACCCTCCCTATCCCACCCCTCTAGGTGGTCACAAAGCACTGAGCTGAGCTCCCTGTGCTATGCAGCTGCTTCCCACTAGCTATCTGTTTTACGTTTGGTAGTGTATATATGTCCATGCCACTGTCTCGCTTTGTCACAGCTGGGACTGTGTTCTGATGGACCATATGATACAATTTTTAAAAAATTTTTTAATTTATTTTTGGCTGTGTTGGGTCTTTGTTTCTGTGCGAGGGCTTTCTCTAATTGTGGCGAGCAGGGGCCACTCTTCATCGTGGTGCGCAGGCCTCTCACTATCGCGGCCTTTCTTGTTGCGGAGCACGGGCTCCAGATGCGCAGGCTCAGTAGTTGTGGCTCACGGGCCTAGTTGCTCCACGGCATGTGGGATCTTCCCAGACCAGGGCTCGAACCCATGTCCCCTGCAATGGCAGGCAGATTCTCAACCACTGCGCCACCAGGGAAGCCTCGATACAATTTTTTTATATTGGGAAATGGTGTGATTTATATATTGATGGCTTACCGTATTCAACAGCATTTCTTCTTAATTGAAGAATAACATCCATATGGTAAAGTGTACAGAACATGAATGTGCTGCTTGGTGGGCGATCACAAGGTGAACACATTTCTTTACTAAAAAGTATATGTGTAGCTGTCATTTGAGAGTAAACTTGCTAAGGCAAAAAAGTGTTTTATTTATAGTAGTCAGACATTTAACAGATACAACTGACAGAAAACAAATTTAAAGTGACTTAAGCAAAAAAGAAAGACCTGCAGTAGCCCTGACTTTCAGCTGGTCTTGCTCGAGTCACAGTGTCAGGCAAGGACTAATCTGTACTCTGCCTTCTCCAGTGTTGGTTTTGCCCTCAGACTCCATATGGAACCCCCTGCGATTCCACACTTAGATCCTCAGACCCTCCATCAAGGGCAAGGACAGGCCAAAAGAACATGTCTTTTCCAGAAGTCCTAGAAACATCTCACCATGGACTATAACTGAGTTTAATTTCTTTCCTTGGGGCATCCTTTAGATGTGATGTGAGTATCACCCAAAGTGCACAGCTGAGAATTATGGAAGGGTTGGAAGGAAATTCAGGATGCTATGAAGAAGGGGATTGGGCACGGGGGGAGGGGGTGGGATGCAAAAACAAGAAACATCCACTCTGTATAGCATACAAGGTCATGATAGCATTAAGAATTTTAGATAAAAATTTAGCGTAAAACAAATAGTAGCAGCAGTAGTAAAAATGAGTTTATTTCTTCCTTCCTAAATTGTGATAGAGTGATCTTTTTATTTACATTATGTTTACAATTGATTGTTGTTGAGGGGTGGTAATATTAAGAGAACCCACTGTGGGAGGTTGGGGTTAAATAACAAGATGTCCGGCGAGCATGCCCAAGCTTGGGTTTGGTCTGAAATCCTCCCCCTGACACTTACCATACTAAATAGTACATGCATTTTGGGTCACTGTGCTTCAGGTACTTCTTGTCTCTGCTGCTTCCTATTTATGGTCACGCTGTTTCTTTACACAAGTGGCTTTGTCCTCTTACCGTGACTCTTCAGGAGTCTCCACTGAAATGAATCAGTTGCCTCTATGGTAACCTGGCTTAAAAAAATTTCAGATCCATGTTTGGACTTGTTAATGTTTTTCCACAGTTCGTTATTTATGACAATATTTGAATTTTAGAAACTCAAATATTGGTTTAGAAAACGATTTCTAGACATAGTTTCTTTTCTCCCATAAATATGCAGATCAGTAATAATTTTAACTATTGTTAAAATGTAATCATTCCCTCTAGAAAATTTGGAAAATACAGAAAAGTAAAGAATAAAACTCACCCATAGTAATATTGCCTAAATATCAATATTACTGCTGCTAACATGTTGATGTATTTCTTTTCTGTCTCTAGGGATATTTTTTCTTGGAGTTGTGATCATTAGTCAAGCTCTTTTCATTTTATAATGTAATCAAGATTTTTTGATAGAAATATTAGCTTTTTAACAATGATGTAAAAATATAAAATTTGAAACCTAGATATATTGGAATTAGGATTATACAGCTAATTTTTTAAAAAGCTTCTAGATAAGAAGGCTCAATAGAAACTCCTGGGTCATTATTTTCCAACTTCCCTCTAAAATAGTCACAGAAATATGTAAATAGGAAAACATTCCTTCCTTCATCCCTAAGAGTCTGCCATGTCCATGCACAGAGGGAGCTCTGGAGCGCAGGTCATCATGGGGCTGACAGTTCAGCCAGGGGCAGTTCTCAGCACTACAAACTACAAATGAGAATTAACTGTGAAAGCATTCAGGAGGAATGCACCCTGAAGGCAACATTAGAAGGGGGCTAGGTGAGGAGGGGGGACCATTAATACTGAAGTAAAATTGTAATACTTCTATACAAGAGTCTCTTGAGTTAAACTAATTCATCCCGTAAGCCACAATCTCCTACCAATTCAGGATTAGTGGAGGGAGGGGGGGCAGGTTTTGCATTGGCAAAATCATCCAACAGGGCAGCTTTTAGCCTTCAAAGTAGCAACATCAAGATCCCACCAACAGTAAAAACCATTCTTTAGGACCCACCCACCTCCAGTAAGAAGAACCACGTCAGTGAGAATCTTTAACAGTGGGACACAAGCCAGCAGAACCACACATTGACATGAGGTATGGGTACAAGTGGCAAGATGAGGCAAGATGAGGAGAGCCCAGCAATAACCCTAGTTGAAGACACCTAAAGTCCTTCTTAGCTTTAGAATCTTGCCAGCAGAGCAAAAGTAGAACGGATCAAGTAATTTACAACCTGGTTCTTTGAAAATGCCAAAGATATTCAAGATTTTTAAAAGGAAAAAAAATATGAACACACTAGGGGTGAGATGAACCATGTAACTATACATGTTAATGATTAATTAGAACACTGTGGAACACTGGGTTCTGCTTCTGTGTACCAGCTCATTGCTGTTTTCTCAGGGAACCCCCGGCCTCTGACTAGTGTAAAGGAAAATGGGTTACTGTGTGCTTCAGTGGGACCTTGTCTCTCTCCTTGGAATATTTTCGTGGGTGCAATTTTATATTGACTTGTATGATTCATTTATGTTCTCATTCCGCTGAAATGTAAGTCCCAAGAGGAAAGAGACCTTTTCTGTTTTGCTTCTGATTCTTTTTCAGCAATTGGTGTAGTCGTTCACACATGCAATTGTTAAATGAGTGAAAGAATTAATACTGGTGGTGGCATTATGGAGGATTTTCATTTCTTTACATCTGTATTGTCAGAAAATTACAAGCTTTTATTTCTATGATAATGCTGTGTGTGAAGGCGCTGTTTTTTAAAGTGAAGGAAAGAGAAAACTTGTTAGAAGCAAACTTTAAAACTGCTTCTGTCTGTCCTCTTGTCTGGTGAACCTCAGCTGTAATTTGGAGTCTTTCTTGAGCTGGGGTGACCCTCTTGATCCTGGAAGATTCAAATGTGCCTGCATTTCAGAAAGGGAACCAGCAATCGACTGGCTGCTAGGGATTCTCCTAGCTCTCAGGTGGACTATGAGATGGTGGGAGTAATTGACACATTAGTACTTTCCAATACTGGGCTTGGGTATATTTCTTTTTATTTAAAGATGGTTAAGAAATAAGAGGCTTGTGGCAAAATCAGTAGTACCTGAGCACATGCAGGGGGAAAAAGCTTTCTTTCAGGTGTATCGCAGGAAACAAAAGTTTTCTTTCAATAACTGCTGCATGGTGTCTGTGAGATGTAAGGGGATATTGCTGAGGTGAGAAAAGAATCAGAACAGGTTAGAAGAGACTCCATGGAATCCTAAATCATAATAGCAAAATTTAGACATTCAGTGAAGCCTGTAAAATAGATAGCAATTGCAGAAGAGTTGATGATATAGAGGTTGTCCTTGGAAACCACTCCTAGAATGCAGATAGGTGAAAATGGTGAACAGGAAGACCCCAAGATTGCACCATATTTTATGTAAAACATCACAAGGGAATTTTAATGAGATTAAGCCAATCTTGGAAACAAAACTCTCCCAAAAATCATCTTCAAAGAAACGAAAAATTAGTCTTTCTGCAGCGCTAAATTCCAAAAGACAAAGGGACACAGGAGCTAAATATATAAAACTCAAAGTTAGAGGGGCTGTAACTCACAAATTCATCACTCATATGATGTTATTTATAGGCGGGGTAAGAGTCTCAAAAGATGTCCTTCTGGGAGAGGGTGAAGGGATTGGGGAGGCAGGATTTAAAATGTCCAGATCATGAAGAGGTAGTTGAACACTTTAAGACTGGGGACATCATGGTAGAAAATTCTTTAGCAAGCATATGTTGATGCCCATCATTTGTTGATGTCATCAGTCAAAGACCACCAGGACACAACCGTAGTCAAAAAAAAATTTTTTTTTTTTGATGCTTGTTGCAGGCAGAGAGACCGCCGTGGAGTCTAGGAGCTTCTCATAAGAAGGTGTGAAGAATTGAGCACATGTAGGTAATGAGGAGGGAGGGCTCAGGTGAGCAGGGGTTTCTTCTGGACTGGGCACTGTCAGAAAGTGGGAGTAATTCTGCAGTTGGGTATCAATTTTCATATAGGAGGTAGGAGAAACGGAACGCAGTAAAGCAGCAGCAGTCATGCATATTGACCACAAGAGGGCGATGTTAAGTCATTTTCATGGTTTGCATGGTGCCTTTTGGTCTGTGCTCAGGTGTGAGGACAGTATCTCACTTCATCAGGAGCACAGAATAACCTTGTCTGATGTCAGAGATTTAGGAATTGTCAGTGTTCAGTAGGAGAACACCATGGCCCAGCTGTGAGTGCCAGGCCAGCTTTTAGCTTTCAGAAGATCCCTTTTCT